ACTTTTATCTTTATTTTACCCGCACCAGTTTCAATAACATAACTATTTAAACTCAAATTCATACTAATTACCACAGTCGTCGTAGTGACGAGGTTCAATTGTGGTAATGGTAAGAAATGTATACGACTCTTAATGGACACCGAAACATTTCTTACCCATTACAAAATATTTTATAATATATTTCAAGTTTTATTAATTTCTTAACACCACCAGCTTTCTACTTCCAACATTAAAATATTTTTATTATATCACTGGACTAAGAGATTATTATTATATCCCGCAAATTACTACTACTACAACTGAGATTACTATATCTTGCGATTGCTAAAAATAATTGGGATAGCTGTTCATAATTCGGTTCTCCAACTATGCAACTGGTAACTTTCCAATACTGCGATCAGTTCCACATGTTGATCAGTCTTCTGGCCATTTTGACGTCTCCACCTTATCATCTAATCATCATTTCAAAGAATTCGGACTTGCAAGTTAAAAAAATTCGGCTAGATAATACTTTTTAAGGGAATTGGTGACAAGAAGGTGCACTTCGGAGCGCTCATCCAGCAGCAACATTGCACCCAAATAGCCAATACGTTTATCGGTGTACCTCGGCTGCGCCACCAACTTCATACATTCCATCTGCAAAAATTCTCTCGAAATGAGAAATATTCTGAAATGGCCGAGTTAATCTATGGATGCTACACTCCTATGTGCTCATTTGCCAAAAAAAAAAAGAGAAAAGAATAAGAAATAACAGGCCGAAAAAGCCTCAAATCACAAAACTGACCGAAAATATCTAAAATCAAATGTTATAAATTTGCTAGGTTTTAAATAATAGGACTTTTTTTACTCAATACATTTGCCCTAAAACTGTCTTAGAGAGTAGTACTTTTTTGTGATACAGGATTAGTAACGTGGGATTTTAGGCTACAAAAGTTGTTCATGTGGGAAATTAGCTGTTCCAGATATTCCCAACAAAATAAAAAAATCCGGCATTTATTAAAGCTTTTTAATAAATTCATAAGAGAGATGTTCAAAAGTCAAGAATCAAAACCCGTTTCCGTATTTGCTTCCTGTGAGAGGAGGCACACACAGGAACATCAAGAAGTAACCCGAGTAGTAGCAAATATTAATAGTAACCATTTGCTGACAATGCTGATCGATGCCTTGCTCTTTCGAGGGCTCCTTAGAAGCAAGCTGATGGCGGGTTTAATTTTCTGA